TGAATCTCAAAAAGCTATTTGGTATATTTTTCCATTATTCCCTATAGCTTTAATGTTTTTAATAGCAATATTAGCTGAAAGTAATAGAGCGCCTTTTGATTTACCAGAATCAGAATCTGAATTAACAGCAGGGTTTATGACTGAATATTCAGCCTTCCCCTTTGTGTTTTTCTTCTTAGCAGAGTTAAATTAGCTCCTTAGAGTAGTAATGCTCTAACGCAAATAGGGGAAATTGCAAGGAAGTCCATTAAACTAATGGGTAATTTGCAGCGAAGCTTGATTTGGTGTATCCCTTTTTTATAAGAAAGAGAGAGTGAATCAAGAACGTTCAACGACTAATCGGTGAGTTACATCAACAATAACCCGGACACGATAACCCTACAACCAGTTAGATTTAACCGGTTGATGACATAGTCTAAGCCCTACTGTAAGGTAGGGAGGATAAAGCTAAATACTTTATCGGTAATATCCCTGACGGTGCTATAGTGTTCTTAAGTACTTTAAGTTCTATCTTGTTTTTAGGTGGTTACTTAGTACCTGGTATTGAGTCAAATGGTTTAATGACTGGTTTATCATTAGGGTTCAAAACATCTTTCATACTATTCCTTTTCATCTGGATAAGAGCTAGTTTCCCAAGATTACGGTATGATCAATTAATGTCAGCTATTTGGTCTAAAATGTTACCAATCGTTATTGCCTTCTCAATATTAATTCCGTGTATTATCAAAGCTTTTGAAATATACTAATTTGTGTATAATCAAGGCTTTTGAGATATACACCCCCCCCCTTATAGAGTTATAAATAAGAATTTTTTATAAATATATAAAATTAGTAGTATTAAATTAGTAGTATTAAGATAAAAAATTTAGTAGTAGTATTAAGGATAAAAATCAAGTATAAATCTATAATTACTGTATAATAAATCAAGTTAAAATTTAAATACTTAGGATAAAAAAAAATCAAGTTTAAATCTAAAATACTGTATTGATATGTAATTAATTTTTATGAAGTTCTATTCTTCTAGCTCTTTATCCTAATATCCCTTACCATATCATTTATTCTTGATTGAGTCTAAAATATCGAGCTTCGTTTACTAGTATAGTTTATTAAATTTTAGGCTAATCATTTCTTTTACAGTATTTAGAAGGAGGAGATGTAACTTATATGAAGTAAAATCCCTGTCATGTAAAGGAGGTTGGCACCCTAACCTTTATTTGTTAAATTTTACTGCACCTATTTTGAATTAAAATATACTACCTGTAACCAGTCGGATGATAAAAAAATTAAAATGGCTAACTTATTTAACAAACTTTTTCATACTGTTGCTTTAAATTCCTTTCTTAAAGGAACATTAAATCCTTTCACGGCACAATTTGATCTTTATATTTTAACTAGATCTTATTCTTCTATTTCTTCATCTTTTATTAATAATAATATTATCAAGGATATTAATGAAAATGACAAAAATAATAAATCTAAAAGTATTCAAGATGTTTCATCTTCTCACAAAGAAAATAAAATTTTCACAGTTATAGTATATCCTAATGCCGATTCTGATAAATTACAAATTTTTACTGACAATAAAAATAAACCTGGGATATATCAATGGAAGCATATAGATTCAGGTAAAATCTGTGTTGGGAGTGCAATTAATCTTTCAAAACGATTGAGAGATTATTATTCAATTTATAATTTAAAAAATTGGGATAATCATATTTCTAGGGCTTTAATCCTTCACGGTTATTCTGCATTCAGTATTTCAATTCTAGAGTATATAGATATAACGAATTTATCTGTAGAAGAATCGCAAAAATTGATTTTAAACCGAGAACAGCATTACCTCAATTTAATCTTTGAAGAGGCTACACCAAATACTTATAATATACTTAAAGTAGCTGGTTCTTCACTAGGATTTTCACATTCAGAAGAAACAAAAGCTTTAATGAGTCTTGCTCAAAAAAACATAGATAGAATTGGTATGAATAATCCTATGTTTGGTAAAACTGGGGAAAATCATCCTATGTTTGGTAAAACAGGTGAGAATAACCCAAATTTTGGCAAAACTCTTTCAGAGGAGACTAAAGCAAAAATGAGTTTAGCTAAATCAGGTGAAAATAACCCTCGAGGGATGCTAGGTAAATATCATTCAGCTGACTCGTTAGCTAAAATGAGTAAAGCTAAAATAGGTGAGAATCATCCAATGTTTCGTAGAACACTTTCTGAGGAAACTAAAGCTAAAATTAGTGAAGCCCTGTCTGGTGAAAATCATACAATGTATGGTAAATCTCTTTCCGCTGAAACTAAGGCTTTAATTAGTATTGCTTTGTCTGGTGAGAATAATTCGATGTATGGAAAAACTCATACTACAGACACTATTACAAAAATGAGTTTAGCTAAAACTGGTGAAAATTATCCAATGTTTGGAAGAACAAGTAAAGTCCATAAAGGTAAAATTTTATCGGCTGAAACTAAAGCTTTAATGTCTTTAGCAAAGTATAAAAAACCCGGGACCGCAGGGCCCGGGGGCCCTGGCGGTATTTGTTTATACTTTAAATTCTGAGACCAAGAAGGGTCTAATTTAGCATAAATTTTTAATTATTGTTTAGATCCTGTTAAATTTTTTGATTATTCCACTTTGGAATGGCTATTACTGGAAGTATGTAAATAACAACAAATGATTAAAGGATAGTTTAATCTAATTCATATCTTAATTGACATGAAATAAAAATTTAAGTATGTTCAAGTCTAACATTTTAATTGGGGCAGGTTTTGTTAAAGGTACAGGTTTTGTTAAAGTACAGGTTTAATTTTTAGATATTATAGTTCTAAAAGATTAATTAATGTCCAAAGAAATTCTTTTTTTATCACTTCGGATTTTCATAACATCATTATATGTAGTATTTTAGGGGATTTAAACATTAACAAAGAAGGGAATAATTCTAGATTAAAATTTAGTCAAGGATTAAGACATAAGGTTTATATTTATCATATATTCAAATTATTTTCGAGTTATTCTAATATGGAAAACTTAGATATTATGAATATTTTAATAAAAAACTAACAAAGTATATACTTCAATTTATTTTGTTACTTATTCTCTACCATGTTTTAAATTTTATTAAGATTTATTTTATCTAAATGATGTTAAAAAGATTCCTTTTAATATAGGTGAATTATTAACACCTCTAGGTTTAGCATATTAGATTATGAATGATGGTAGTAAAAACGGTAAGAGTTTTATACTATGTTCTGATAGTTATTCTTTAAGTGAAGTTGAATTATTGATTAAAGTTTAAAAACAAAATTTTGATTTAAATTGTTCTTATCACAAAATAAAAGATCAATATTGTATTTACATAAAGTTAGATTTAATGAATAAATTTAGATCTCCTGTTTCTCCATATTTTCATGAATCTATGATGTATAAATTACAAGCTTAATTAAATTAATTTTATTTTCTTGTTATTTACAAGTTTTCCCCTCTTAATTTGTGTAGACTATTGAGAATAACAGGTATTTATAAAAAATACAATTGAAGTTATTAAACACTCCCTCCCCCCCCCCCCCGTCGAGTTGGGCCTCTTGATCGACCTAGTAAATTAACTTTAAATGCAATAAAACATCCCATATCTACATTACCTGGAACAAATAATAACCAACCCTCTCAGAGAACGCGGAGGGTTTACCGGGCTGATATAAGGGGGGAAATATATTAGCTCCAAATGTAATAAGTTCAATTAATAAAAAGACAAACGTTATATTTCTAGTTATTAATAGTATGGATAGTTTACATTTTTACATTTATTGTAGGTCCCTATAAAAATTGTTCACATTCAAATATTCTTAGCTTCATTTTTTGAAAAATTTGTTATATTAATATATATATAAGAATTGTAAGATTAAAAGATGAAAAAAGGCAAAGTCAAAGTACTACCACACGTACTTTATCAAGATATTTAGATAAGAATAAATTATATAGAATCTATGGATTTTATCATCATCTTTAATTAAGAAGGAAGTATAGCAGGGGCTAATATGCTATTATAATTATATATTCGTTTAGAAATAAATCTTTATAAACACCCCCCCCAGAGGGTATTGGACCCTGCGAGGAGGGCAATTAAAATAAATCTTATTTTAATTAAAAATAGACACTTATAGAATAGTTGAAACTAATATTCTATAATCAGTAATAAAAAGTTAAAAAAAAAAAATAAATTTTATAATCGGTATTTTAGTACTAAAAGATTGACTAATATCCAAAAGGATTCTTTTTCTATCTCTCCGGATATACAGGATATTATAATAGGTATAAGTTTAGGTGATTTAAATATTAATAGACAAGGGAAAAATGCAAGATTACGATTTAAACAAAGTTTAGTTCATAAGGGTTATATTTATCATTTATTCGATTTGTTTTCAAGTTATTCTAATATGAAAGAATTAAAACACAATGAATATTTAGATAAAAGAACTAATAAAGTTTACACTTTTATAGTTTTTTATACTTATTCTCTTCCTTGTTTTAATTATTATTATGATCTATTTAATGTAAATGGAGTTAAAAGAATTCCTTTGAATATCGGAGGATTGTTAACTGCTAAAGGTTTAGCTTATTGGGCAATGGACGATGGCACTAAAGAAGGTTCAGGATTTATATTTTGTACTGACTCCTTTACTTTAGACGAAGTAGAATTATTGGTTAAAGTTTTAAAACAAAATTTTAATTTAAAATTGTACTATTCATAATTATAGAAAAGATCATTATCGAATTTATATAAATTCAAGCTCAATGAATGAATTTAGATCTCTTGTTAGTCCTTATTTTCATTCTTCATTGATTTATAAATTGGGATAATTTTTTTGTTATAAAATATTGTAGGGGAAAAATATACAATATAAATTATTTATTAGATAGAGCTCTACTTTCTCTTTGAACACCCCCCCCCTAGAGGCCAAATGGTCCTAGATGGATTATTAATTAATAATAGAATAAAAAAGGGGATATCGTATAGTTGGTAATATTTTAGTTTTGCATACTAAAGAGAAAAGTTCGATTCTTTTTATCTCCATTATCCTAAGAGTAGGAGGAAAGTAGTGTCTCCATTATCCTAAGAGTAGGAGGAAAGTAGTGTCTTTTTGCATCTTAAAGATAACATAAATCTATTATTAACTTTATTAATAATTATCTACTTTATTTATTATTAACTTTATTTAGTGTAATTTACTTTATTTTTAGAAAAAGCTATATCTTTTTTTAGATATGTCTAATAATCTGGGGGGGGGAGGATTCAGCCCTATATATAAGATTTTAATAATTATGGATAGTGAGACTTGAACTCACACGATAAAAAATCAAGTATGCCTAAAATACTCGCGTAAACCTATTTCCGCCATATCCATTATTTTATTATAATAAACAGAATTTAAATCTTATGAAAAGTAAGTCCCAACGGTAGGGGAGGGGGGGGGGTTAGCAAAGGTAATTTTATATAACTTTTGTAAATTAATTATTATTGATAATCGTATATTAACCCTTACTATCATTTGGATAAATTAAAAGGGGGGGGGTATTTCTAAATTAGTTGTAGATAAAATCCATTTGTTTTTAAATAATTCTCTATTTAAGCAATATCTTTTTATAGTAGCATGAGAACTATTAAAGAATACCGCGGCTTTTCTAGCTGAATAAAAACAATTAATAAGTGAACCATTAGTACCATAAACAAAAATAGTACTTTTTCTTTTAGCAATACTTATGGATTCACTCATTTTCATTTTTGTTTCAACAGGATATTTTTTACCAAACATATTTTTCCTCTGGTTTTGGCAAGAATTTACTCTGAATGAGAATACCCCCCCCCGTATAGATCCTGCGATTTTAGTAATATTATAGGGAGGGTCAAAAATATCTATAAATTGCTGTTCACTAAAAAGAATCAATTCTTTAGCTTTTTCTTTTGATAAACCTGTAATGTCAACATACCTAAATATATTAAGAAAAATTCAGAGCAACCGTGAGCTAATAATGCTCGGTAGATATAAGAATTTTTGTTACACACTAAATGGAATTTTGAGTAATACTCTCTTAATTGTAGTGTTAAATTATTATAAGATCCTATATAGCGTTTCCCAGTAAATCTATAAGTCCAACAATACACCCCTGTTTTTTCCCTATATAATCTATTAAAATTCTTAATTTTTCAGAGTTAGCTTTTAAATAGACCATAATAGGGGTTATAGACAACCTTGAAGAATCATAAATTTTGTATAATAAGTAAGAATAAATTTTGTATAATAAGTAAGAATAAATTTCATTTTTATATTTTATAAAAAAGCCCAAAGGGGCCGAAGAGGTGAATAAAAATTTAAAATTAAATAACCTGTTAGCAATAAATCCTAGCCTTATATTGTTTTTTTTTTTTGGTATTACTTCCGGTATATCGGCTTCGTAATTAAAGATAAAATTTTCAATATAAAAATATTTTCGAGATCCCCCCACTATTTATAGAGATTTGTGAAAAATATTATACTACGCACAGAATTCTTATTATATAAGGTCTTATGCATTTATTATCAGTAAGATCCCTCTTAAAGAAAATTAGTATATAAGGTCTTATACATTTATTACCAGTAAGATTCCTCTAAAAAAAAAATTATTAATACTAATAAATTAACTTTAAATCTTAAAAGGGATTAGAAATTTAAAAGCGGGCCCCGGCCTCGGGCGGGGGCCCGGGCCGGTTTTATAGTTAATTGTGTATTAATACCCCCCCCCGGTCTAATGCTTATGAATATAAGATTTATTTAAATAAATATAGATAATATATATACATTTTAATGAATATATTGAGAAATGCAGACACCCTAACTCTGATAAGATAAAAAACTTATCTACTTTACCCAATTAAGTAACATCTTAATTTAGTGAACGTAAAATTACATTACAATAGGACTTGAGTTGTATTAAATTTATTTATCTTAATTTAAATGATTATTATAAGATTGAATATATAATTAATGATTAATTATTCTATAAAAAAAAAACATTTTTGTCAGGCCTCTATTAAGACTTGAACAAATTCACAGAGACTTGATAGATCCTTAGATTAAAAAATAATTTTTGATTTTTACACAATTTAAAAAAGAATATATATTTAAGAATCCTTTGAACGCTGCTTGCCACAATTTTTTATACGCAAGTATGTATTACCTCAAGCTGATATCCCTTATATAGTTATAATTAACAAGAATTTAAATGCTATATAAAGGGGCTCCTACGAGGGGGGGGGTGCTTAGCAAAGGTTATTTTATATAACTTTGTAAACTAATTATTATTGATAATAGTATATTAGGCCTTATAATTATTTGGTCTATTTATTAATAAAGATTAACATTACATCTTTATAAAAATAAAATAGAACATTAAAAAAAAAAGCCCCCGAGGGCAGGTTATCCTCGAAACAAAAAAAAAATGACCATACAAAACTACATTTGCTTAGTAAATTATTCAATCTGAAGTGAAAATTAAGAAGAACCCAAAAGGTTATCATAAACCCATTGGTTTTTATTCAATTTAAATAAACCTTTGTACTTCTCAGATATTCTTTATGAGAATCTCCCCCCCCCTTCTCATTTATTTTTAGTGTTGGTAATACCAATAGTTCTCCTTCCCTAGGTGGGCTGAGGGGGGGGGTTAAATAATAAAATTTTTATCTTCTGCACATATTCTTAATAATTTACCCCTTTTTTTTTAATTTTAAGAAAAGAGGGGGCTATAATTAGTATATTATAGATAAGGTGATTATAGTTCAATTGGCAGAACGGTATATTGGTGGATCTATATATCAAGGTTCGAACCCTTATTTTCGCCCAAACCTACAAGAGCTAAATCTTTTGGTTAAATCTTCATCATAGTCCCATTATATTTTAAATAATTAGTGAAAACGGGGGGGGGGGAGGAGCTTCTTAGTTCAAATTATTTTTATATAAATCACTTATTTATTAGGATGAAGAGTACGAACATACAAGGGGACTCTTATAAAAATAGGGGGGGGGGGTTAATCATATGTTTGGTAGAACTGTAGAGGATGAAGAGTACAAACATACTGGGAACTCTTATAAAAATAGGGGGGGTAATCATATGTTTGGTAGAACTGTAGAGGATCACCCTATGTTCGTAAGGACTGGTGATAAAAATCCTAGGTTTGGAAGGACTGGTGATAAAAATTTTATGTCCGGAAGGACTGATGATAAAAATTCTATGTTTGGTAAAATTACACACATACTGATGAAACTAAAGCTTTAATTAGTGAAAGCAAAAAGGGTAGTACACATAATGAACTCACAAAATTTAAAATTAGTGTTTCTAAAAAAGGTATTAAACTTAAAGATCAGACTAAGATTAGTATTGTTCAAGATACACCTATTAATGTATATAATGCGGATAAGTCCATTTTAATAAATACTTTTTTGTTAATAATGTAGGAGGGAGGGGGGGGGGAATTTTTTTATTATTCTTATTTTACTGTTTTATCTTATACTTAGGGGGGGGGGATATTAAAGACAAATAGGCCTTATCAACATCTATTAAATTACCTATGACTTAGCCTACTTGCTTTGTGGGATGAAAATATAATAACAGTATTGAGATGAAATCTAAAAATTGACTAGATTATTTTTTAATTTTTAAAATAATAGATGAGTTAAAGTTTTTTATAAAATAAATTAAAATTATTTAAATACCCTGCTAGCTTAGCCCCGGGGATATTTACTAAAATCCCCCCCCCCTGATTAAGCTAATAATCTTCTTATCATTGTGTATTATTATTTGTAGTTAATTTATAAATTTATTTTCACCCCCCCCCAACCGAATGTAACTTAAGTTGGTAAAGTAAAGTTGATTAACTTTTATCTTATGGGGGGGGTTCGAATATCCCCTTTTGTTTTCTGGAAAAATACTGTATATTTTCCAGAAATCTATATTAATTTTTAAATCTTATAATAAATAACATTAGCCCTGGGTATTAATATACAATTAACTATTAAAACATGTTTCATCAATTTATTTCTCTAAATATAAAAGCTAATTTATTAATATTGATTATCTTTATTAAGAAAATCTCCCGATATAGATTTATAAAACCTAAAGAATTCTTGCTCTGCATCAGGAGGGGGGGGGGATTTTCACAAAATCCATTTTTGCAAAAATGGTGGATGATCCCGAATAGGATACTTTATGTGAAAAATTTTCTCTTAATTACGAAGCTAATATACTGGAAGTAAAAGCAGGGAAAAGCAAGCAATAATAATCTAAGGCTAGGATTTATATTATTTAGGTTATTAATTTTATTCTTAATTTACCAATACCCCTAGGTGTTTCTTAGGTTAGTTAAAATTTATTTTATTATGTTATTAACTTTATTTTTTTACCTAATTTTTTTTTTTTCTACTACTTATTGCGATGCTATATAACCTTTAGCATTTTCATTAACAATTTGTGTTCCTGTTATGATCTATCATAATGAGGATAGTGAGAAATCAAAATTTAATAGAGATAATAAAGGTAAAACTGGGATTTATTAATGGACACATAACGATTCTGGTAAATTATATATTGGTTCTGCTGTTGATTTATTTAAACGATTTAGATATAATTATTTGCTTTCAAAATTAAAAAGAACTAATAAGTATATCTGCAGAGCAATTATACGTTACACTCATTCTACTTTTTTTTTCTTTCAATTATCGAATACTTAAATCTCTATAATTTATCTAAAGAAGAAGCTCATAAATTAATTTTTGGACGAGAATAATTTTATTTAGATTCTTTAAAACCTGAATACGATATTGTTTAAATTGCAGGTTATTGTCTGGGAGTAAAACATTCTGAAGAAATTAAAGCTAAAATGAGAGGAGTTCGTAAAGGAAAATCTCTTTTTGAGAAGATTCTTGCTAATATATGTGAAGCTCAGAAAAAAGTGGTCAGAGCAGGTGATAAAAATCCACGTGGGATGTTAGGTCGTTCTCACACACCTGACACTTTATTCAAAATGCGTATAGCTAGAGGTTCAACTATATACGTTTATTCTTCAAATAAATCCACACTTATCGATAGTTTTTCTTCTTCTAGAAAAGCTGGCGAATATTTTAATGTTTCATTTAATACAATTTTAAAATATGCAAACAATGGGATATTGTTTAAAGAGAAATGGATATCCTCAAAAATTTTAATAAATAAAGTTAACTCAAAAGACACTGAGAAATAGAGGGGGGGGGGACTTTTATATATAATAATTGTTATATATTAACACCCAACTTTTTAATAGCTAATTCATTCGAGTGGTTTATATTTTTAGAGAATGTTTATCTGATTACATCAATATTAGATAAATTAAACTTCTAGACTTCTGGTTTTCATAATTTAGAAATTTGGTTAATACTGGATTCAATACCATTTATAACAAGATTTTTGTGAATTACAAATAAATTTAAGAAGTAGGGTAATATCTTATAAATCTTATATGATTAGTTTATAACTGATCTATGTTTAATTTATAACAATTGTATGCTAAATGTTTCTAATTGAGGTAATTAAAATACCTCAAGAAAATACCCCCCCCCCGTTGAGGTCACTTCGGGATTATTTTGACCATTTTTTATTCTTATAAAAATAAAAATTTTACTATATTACAACTTATTATAATAATTTAGATAAGGTTATTTAAGCTAGATTGTTCAAGTATTATTAAAACTAGATTGTTCAAGTCTTATCTATATTTGATTGTTCAAGTCTTATCTATACTTGATTGTTCAAGTTTTATATATACTATATTGTGCAAATCTTATCTATACTAGATAGGTACATTTATAATAAAAATTTTCTTTAGGATGTTACTTAATTTAAGGTTTAAGGGAATGTAACTTAATTGGTAAAGTAACTAGCTTTTATCTAGCCTTATCAGAGTTCGAGTCTCTGCGTTCTCAAATATATAATGTATATATGACTATCTTTATAAAATAAATCTTATATTCATAAGCATTAGACCGGAGGGGGTATTAATACACAATTAACTATAAAGCCGGCCCGGGCCCCCGCCCGAGGCCGGGGCCCGCTTTTAAATTTCTAATCCCTTTTAAGATCAAAAGTTAATTTATTATTATTGATTATCTTTTTTAAAAGTAATCATACCTATAAAGACCTATAAGACCTTATATTATTAGATAATCATAATTTTATGAAATTTTTATCTATAGCGAAGCCTATATACTGGTAGCAAAAGATAAAAAATAATTATATAAGGTAGGGATTTATACTTTTAAGATTATTTATTGAAAAATTAAATTTACCTTTTTAATAAAATACAAAAATGAAATTTATACTTACTTATAATACAAACTTATTTGAAATTCATAATTTTTCAGTATTATTGTTTATCCCTCTGATTATGCCCTATTTAAATGTAGACTATAAAAAAAAAATAGAAATTTTAATCGATAATAAAAGCAGGGGTTTATCAGAGGATCTTTGTTTCTTCTGGTAGGTACTACATAGGTTTCTCTTATAATCTATCTAAACGACTAAGGGATTATTTTTCTAAATTTTATTTAGAGCTGAACAACTCGATACATATTTTTGAAGCACTTAAACTTTATGGGTAATCTCAATTTTCTTTTTACTATCTTTAAATATATTGATGTAACAAATTTATCTTTAAAAGAAGCTTGTAAATTTATTCTTTCAAGTTAACAAAAATTTATTGATTCACTAGAGCCTAAATTTAATATTAATCCCTCGGCGTCTTCTCGATTAGGAGCAAAACATCCCTCTACCCCCCCCTGACACTATTGTTAAAATGAATGAAGCCCTGAAAGATGAGGATTACCTAATTTTGAGAAATTTCTTTCTACTAAAACTAAAGAAAAAATGTCTATCGCAAATAAAGATAAAGCAAAATCGTAAAACATAAAGCAAAAATTAATTTAGCCCTGAAAAAAGTATTTGTTTATTCTTTTGATCCCCTTTCAAATGTAACAACACTGTATAAAACTTTTGATAATTACATAGAAACCCCAAAATACTTTAATTGTAGTAGACGTACATTCTGTAATTACATAGATAAAAATTAATTAAAAAAAAGTGTATTTTAACCTCGTCTAAGAAATAAGCGACTCAAACAATAGTAAGGGTTTATATCCTATTGTTGAATATATCTTGTTTTTAGATAGCAATATTTTCTAGACAACTTTCCCCCCCCCACAACTAGCTTATTTTGTTACGATAACCCAATTAGTAATGTCTTTCAAGTGTATTCAACGTAGTTATATAAGTAAATTTTACTTCCGTCTTCTACCACTGTCGTGCTTGACCTTGTAGACTATTAATAATAGTAAATATAGTTTAAATAAATATAGTTCAAGTTAATATTAATACTTAAAATGGCTCAAGTCTTAATATATCCCTAATCTTTCAAGAATTTGCCAGCATTAATATGATAATAGTATTATTATACAATCTTGAAAGACTAGATTATTCTTAATTTAAAAAGTCTTAATCAGTTCAAGTCAGTTATCTAAAATTAGGTTATTACTAAACGTTTAACGAATTTTTTAAAGATGTCTATCTCAAATTTATTATTTTACTATATTTATTTATAACAAATTCACATGATTAATTTCTATATTTATTTTATAAATCTTATATTAATAAGGATTTATCCGGGGTATTAATATACATTTTTCTTAAATTTTTATTTAGCCTCAAGTTTATTAAGAATTTAAGTAAAATTATTAATATAGATTGTTTTAAAAAAGTAATCATCCCGATAAAGATCTATAAGACCTTATATAATAATAATCATTTTAGGATATCTT